GCCTATAAAACCTATTTTGAAAATTTAAAAAATCTTCATTTGTCTCTGAGTAATCGTTCATTCAATTTTCTGAGTGTATGGCGAATTCTTCGATATTTAAAAAAATCGTCCGCCATATTAAATCCATTATGTACTTTGAAAATTTGTCATCGAATTCGTGTTCAGCGACCCCAAAAACCCTCGAATAACAAATTACAAGCAAATACAATCGATTTTTAAAAAATCGTCATATTGGATCCGCCATTTTGAATTTTGAAAATCTGACATCGAATTCGTGTTCAGTTATACCGAAAATCTGCAGAACTATTTAAAATTTAGATGTTTGTAGTTATATTCTTCTGAATTATCGAAGTTTTATCTGTTCCTATTCAATTTTGGAATATCGAAGAATTCGCAAAAACTCAGAAAATTGAATGAACGATTACTCAGAGACAAATGAAAATTTTTTAAATTTTCAAAATGTGTTTTAAAGGGGAAAAATAGCACTTTCAGATGCAATATTGATCTTTCGGGAAAAAAATTATCCCTTGATGTTGCATGATCTTAAATGCAGTTAAAAAACGGGTTTTTTGAACATTAAGGTTAGAATATCTTAAAAACCTGACGTGCAGGGTGAATTCTGAGGCCGGATTCGGATTCTGCACGTTGAATACCTTCGGAAAAGTATTGTCTGATTCTTGGAAAGTAAATCTTGTCGGCCTGTGTAATCTATACGCAAAAAAGCGGTAAATTACTAAATTTTAACGTATATTATATCCATAAACGAATTAATAATATTTTATAAACAAAGTGGCGTTAATTATAGTGCTAATCAAATTACTATATTATAATATTCTACAAAGTAATAGAATTTTATCGGTTTAAAGAGAAAAGTCAGAAAAGATGATAAGGAACAATTAGTATAAATCTTCAAATGTAGATAAATATACTGTTTTAATAATAAAATTAGTAATAAAATTGGCAGTGATTTAAATTTTTTTTAATGAATTATGATAAATTGATTTGCTATAGTCAATAATGTACCTATTAATAATACATTATTAATATAGGGGAGACTGGGGCAAACCGGCCATGTTAACAGTTGTAAGGCTCTACCCAAGAAGCACGTAATATATCCTCAATATCAAGGTAATATTACACGTGAGATTCGTAATATAACGCTGTAATATTACAGTAATCTTACAGTGATCTTAAAATGTCCGCCTCAAGGTATTATTACCGGGAATATTACTGTAATATTAACGGTAATATTACAGTAATATTACAGTAATATTACAGACTGATTTGAGTTATTCATAAAGCATAAAAAACGTAAATATATTATAAGTCAATTTGGCTTGTTGGTAAAACTCTGGACTCGTGTGCTTTGAGTTCGAGTTTCGATTCCCTGGATGGGTAGATTTTTTTCGTAAAGAAATGTTCCCATAATATTACTGTAATATTCTCTTGTAATATTACCTTAATATTACGGTATAATATTACTGCAATATTACTGTAATATTACCTTAATATTAGCGCCTAATATTACAGTAACATTACCGGTAATAATACCTTGAGGCGGACATTTTAAGATCACTGTAAGATTACTGTAATATTACAACGTTATATTACGAATCTTACATGTAATATTACCTTGATATTGAGGTTATATTACGTGCTTCTTGGGTAGTAACTAAAGAAACTAATGAAAAACCTTTTATAATAGCTTGTTGGAAAGGTCATCTAATTGCGCAACTTTTTCCTACAGACACATGTACCTTAAAATGTATTGTTTAGCTGCTGCATCAATTTTAAAAAAATTTGCAAACTGGCCGGTTTGCCCCACCCCTGAGGTAAACCGGCCAGTTTATTATTTTTTTTTTTTGTTTGTTTAGAGAATTATTTGTAAGGAAAACGTCACTAAATATAAAAAATCAATAAACAATCTTCCTAATAAGGAAAATAATAAGCTGGATTAAATTTCAATTAAAGAAATATCTTATTTATTTTAAAACAAATATTTTCAACTAATTGTTGTCGTTCACGAAGAAACGTCTGTCAGTGAACTTTGTAAAACTTCGTAAATCTCCGTAAAGTGGACAAAGATTCACGAAAGCGTGCACGAAGTTTTCTAGCCGATAGGTAATCTTCGTGAATTTATGTTGCAAGGGAAACAGACATAGGCCGGTTTGCCCCACAGGCCCATTTTGACAATTAACTGTATTAAAAAAATGCTTAGTAAAATTATTAAATAATATACCGATAAATTTAACTGAGGCATGCACCTTTTAAACCTAAAAAACAATTTTAATAAATATTACACGATTTTCTCACAAATTGCTTATTATCAGATCCGTAAAAATTTCTAGCGGAAGCGAACAAACAAACTTTTGTTTATAAAATTGCATAAACACAATTAAAAAATGTCAAACTGAAGAAATGAGTTATTCTTAATATAGTCTTTTCAAATTTATATTTGACATATTTTAAAGTTTGACCAATTCTGAGAAATTAACACCTGGCTGGTTTACCCACATGGCCGGTTTGCCCCAGTCTCCCCTATTAATAATATTAAAGTAAGTTTTATAATATTGATAAATTTTTTAACAAAATTTTCAAAATAACTTTTAACCTTTTCACGAAGTCTGTACTTACCCACCGTGAAAACTCGCAAATCGAAAATTTCGGGACAATTTATTAAAGTTTACAATTTTTCTTTGTCCGACATATTGGATCCGACATTTTGACTTTCACAAATTTTTTTAAATCTGGCAATCAAATTCGTAATCATTAACTCCAAGAACCCTAGAGTAACAAATTTCAAGTAAATATTGTGATTCTGTAAAATAAAATTTATTTTACAAGTCACAAATATATTTTACAACAATGTTATTTATTTTGAAATTTTAAAAGTTATAATCTATTTATTATCCAGATAATTTATTTTTTTGAAATAACCAAAACAAGGTAAAAATATATATAAAATAATACCATTAGGGTCATCAGTTGGGGTAAATTGGGACAGGGGGTAAATGGGGACAAGAGGTTTTGGAGCTTAATTTACAGTTTTAAAATTAAGTTCAACATCAATATTTTAACCTCAGATCACCTGCAAGAGGTTTTGAGTATTGCCAAGCTTTTATCTTGACAATTGGCAGCAAGATAAAAAAAGTTATCGCTCAATGCGATACCAATCATACCAAATTTTTTTCTTATTCCTTATGACTCCTATAACAGAAATTCACTTGAGTTTTTGATTTTTGTCATTATTAACCAAATTAACAAAAATCAAAAACTCAAGTGAATTTCTGTTATGGGAGTCATAAAGAATAAGAAAAAAATTTGGTATGATTTTTAAGTCTGTTTTTTTTCAAATGCGAGACAAAATACTGAAATAAAAAAAAAATAAAAAAAATTTAATTGGTTCAACTATTATATATCTACTACAAATTTTTTTTCAAGTTTTTTCATCCCTTAATACAGTAATATACTTCAGGAAACTTTTTTCTTAAAACTTTCTTGGAAACTATGCTGTCCCCATTTACCCCGAATTTTATGAAATTTTCTAAATTTTGGGGTCAATGGGGACAGTCAGTTTCATGCGTTTAAAGCTTATCTAAATTTTTTTCTGCTGCATAAAATTAATCCTGGGAACGTAAATAACAACTTAAAAAAAATAAACTCTCAAATATTAGCTTTTAAAGGAAGAAAAATAACGAAAAATAGCGATTTTGTCCCCATTTACCCCAACTGACCCTATATAATTTAAATTATTACAAATAATAGTTGATTCTTAATTTCTTTACAGACTACATCGATCTTAAATATTCATATATCCTTAAATAACTCTACGAAACACAAAATTTTAAACACTTTTTATATCATTTTAATCTGGTATGTTAATATTTTTAACTTTTAATTATTATTAATGTTAATATTAACAAATTTATTCTCTTCTATAAAAATCGATCTCGTTTAATCCATTTTTACAGACTTATATCTGATGAGGACACGAAAATGTGTCGAAACGCGTAATTTTTATACAGACTTAAAATTATTAAAAAGCCCGTAGGCCAAACAGAAATAAACATCTTTTATTTATAAATTATGGCTTCTCAAAACAATTTACTTAGTAAATTTATCTTGATGTTATTTTATGTCCATCTTTATTTTGTATTTTGATTTCCTTTACTAAATTTTTCTATATTATCTAATTCTTTTGAAAATTGTAAATTTTAACATGTTTTAATTATTATTTGTGAATTTTTTCCAATTGTGTTTTTTGACCCTTACTAAATTTGATATTAATAATTGTTTCGATCTTGGAATTCCGTACGACAAATTAATGTGTTAGTTATTGTTTTGTGACAAATAAATGTATTAATTATTGTTTTGTTTTATAACAAATTTTCATTTGTCATTTATAATTTATGTAACTATTTAATGTTTGTGATTAAAATTGTCATTGTTTTTATTTAAATCTTATGATTTAATTCCATTTTTTTTGATTCGATTACTAGTTTTTCGGTCTTTATTAACCTCTTCTCTCTACCGTTTAGTTATTGAGTAGCCGAGTAAAGATAAAAGTCATTTCATAATTTTCTTTTATTTTGATGTAATTAAAAATTTAATTTTTTGTAATTTGACTTAGTCTGGGCGCCCAACAATAAATTATAATTGAATTTTGATTTTTTTATCGCAATGCTAGTGTAACTTTAAATTTGTTTTATTTTAATAAAAATTTCAAAATAGGGTTACAATATATATGATTTTAAATTTTTTTCATCCGCCATATTGTATCCGCCATTTTGAATTTCGAAATTTTGCAAATCTGACTTTAGATTCGTGTTTAGCTAACCCAAAAACTCCAGAGTATCAATTTACAATTAAATATTTATTATCAAATATTAAATTGAATATGCTATATCAAAAGGTGGTTAATATACTGACCATAATGGTAAATAATTATTGAAATATTTCATCTTATTTTAGATAAAAGAATCCACAAGAAAAATCACAAATAGAAAAAAGTAGTGTTTTTTTATTAAAAAATAATAAATATTACATGTATTTACAATCCCTTCTGCATAGAGGACAAAGTGCAAACGTCATATCAACCACACTTGGTAATATATCTCGTTTAAAATTAATATAATTTATATTGTAATTATCGTTTCCAATTAGGTTTCGCTTGTTGAAGCGTCGTAGCATAATTCCAAGGATTTGTCGTTAGTGAAGGTTTTGGAATTTGAAGGTTCACGTTTGGATAATAGTATAATGGAATCACAGGTTTCACAGGCTTTATTAATAAAGAATTTAGAATACTTGATTGAACTCCATAAGTTGGAGGTACTGCTGGTGTTACTTCTGGATAAGCTGTAACTGGTCGAATTGTTTGTATTGGTTTTGCAGCTGGTTGAATTGGATTGACAACTGAATGAACTGGATTTGAAATCGGATAAATTGGTTGCGCTGGAATTGCAACTGTATTAATTGGATAAACAGAATGACTTGGAGAGGAAAATTGTACTCCTGGCTTATTTGACGGTATTGATAGAGTAGGTGTTCCAGAAACTGGTTTTTGATCTGGAATTGTTGGAATCGGAATTCCAAAGTGAGTTGGAGAAGAGCTACTTGGATTATTTGGAACAGGAATAAAATTGTTGCCCAATAAACCAGATGGTATATTAGCGATGAAATTTGTTCCAGGAATCAGACTTGGAATATAGGTTCCATAGTGAGGAAAATTGGGAATGAATGCTGATCCAGGTTTAAGTGATCCAGGTGCAAGTGTGGGAGTAACTGCTCCTGATCCAGCCGATTCTGATGGACTGCTAGACCCTGATAGTGGTACCTGCGGTCGAATTGGAGTTGCTACTGATGAGATTGGTACTTGGCTGGATGATGGTAGACCGTAAGTGATTCTCAACCCTGGAGAGCTGATGGCAGATCCAGATAAGAAAGATGAGTGACCAAAAGCAGTACGTTCACCACCGAATACACTAGGACTCACCAATTGTTGATCTTCTAGATTTGCATCTCCATTTCCAGTTTGATGATGAACATTTTCAACAGCAGGAGAATGTCTTCCTAAAGGTAGTGAATTTTGAATCTGAGCTTGATTTTCCAGAGCCAAACGTAACTGAGCGATCAATCTGTCTTTTTCCAAGGACTGAATATTTGCAAGTGTCTCCTGTGGATTTAGTATTCCAGACGCGTATGACGGTAGTGGTCCTGGAAATTTTGAATTTTCTACAACATTTTGCGAGTGTAAATTATTTTGCTGTTGATTTGACAATTGATTAAGATATTCATTATTTGGAGCATAATCCTGATTGAGAGCAGGTGCTCCATAAAGTTGTGACAACGATTGTGCATTTTGTTGGAGAAAAAGTGCTGCATCAGATATTCGATTATCTTGCATATTTTCATTAAAATTTTGTTGTTCGGAAAATGCACTCATTGCGGAATGTGATGGTAGCTTTTGATTTTTAGGTGGTAAATAATTGGCAGTACCAGTGAGAAATGGATAATCATTTTGTTCTGGTATTGGATCAGGTTCAGAAAATTCGTGATTTTTCATTGATTGAGAAATGCCTTGATGTAAATTTTCTGAGGGTTGATTTGGCTCACGATGTTGATTATTGGGTCGTTGTTGATTTTGATTTGGTTCATGAATTTTAGGTGGACCATAAAGATTAAATGGACGATTCAATTGATTACGATGTTTATTTAATCGTCCTCTATTTCTCGATCGAAAATTAAGTCTATTGTAGCGAATCGGTTTCTCGTAATTATATCCGGAATCTCTTTTTCTTGGAAATTCTTGTAATTCACTGTCAGATTCCATTTCACCGAAATCGACATTTTTCAGTGTTTCAATTTCAGTTTCGTTTGCATTCTCCACATCAATTGACAAGGTCACTGAAGAGCCAATTAAAATGTAAAGAGTTACCTGTAAAATTTTAAAAACGTTATTTTATTGACAATATTGTAGAAAACTGATGACAAGAGTTTAAAATTAATTATAGTTTAGAAAATCAAGAAAAATTTAATCAAAAGAATAATTGAGAAAAAGAAAAAAAATTTGGTCACAAAAATGAAAATCAATTAATTTATTTGTTGTTAATTTATAATGAGAAGTTTATTTAAATTAATTAATTTTTTTTTTTTTAATTTGAATTTGGTGATTCTTACCAAAAGAAGTTTCATGTTTGAAATAATCCTTATGGGTCACTTTTACACAGCACTTAAAAAAAAATCCACCTATTTCTTGCTATTTCCATTAAAATTTGACATTTAGTTTTATATTGTTAGAAAATTAGTTTTCAAGCTTTGACATGTCGTGATCGACTAAAAAGACATCCATACCTGCACATATATAAATACAGTTGGGTCGCGACCATCCTCGAATTACAATAGACTTTCTTGTCGGCTTTCATCGATTGAATTTAAGCAACACTGTTACGGATACTCTTGTTACACATATATCATGACACTATATTTATATATAATGATTATTTTATATATTGTCATGCGTGTGTCCGATTTTTTTTTTTTTTAATGATGAAAGTTCCAATTACAATATTTTTCCAATTAAATTTCAAAACATCAATATCAAATCTTCCATTAATTAATTTATTCTCACATTAATTACTAAATTAGTTATTTTCAAACGAAAATTAGATATTTAATTTTTTTTTTGTTCCAGTTTGACTGAAAAATTAATTAGGTTAGTTTAGACAAGAATTAATTAAATAAAATTGGACTTGGTTTAATTTGACAAATTTGAAAATAAAATAATATGTGGATAAAGTTATGGAAGTAGGGTAATTAGATGGAAATTGGAATTAAATTAATTTGATAATACGAATTCATTTCGTACGAGTTATAATGACTTTCAGAAACAATTGTGATTTCAGAACACATAACTTTTGAGAAAAGTTTTGAAAGAAAAAAATTGTTTTCTTCTTTTATTTTGACTTCAAAAATTGTAATTTAAACTTTCTAATCAATGATATTAAATTAAATTATACTTTATTAAATTATTATTTTAATTAATAGTGAACAATTTTTTAAAATTATTTTTTAAAAATACTATCTACTGTTAAATTTATTCCTCTATTCAATTCGACTAATTTTACAGCTATCATTTGCAGATTATTTGATAAGTTTTATTTATTACTAAATATATATATGTATATATAGTTGAACCGAATAAATTAAAAGTTATAAAAAAAAGTGTTGTAAGATTGATAATAAATATTGTAAAGCCTATATAGAGTTTAGATGCCAGTGCACTGGTTAATGACTTTATATCATTCATGGCACGTGCAACTTGTGTGGATCTCCAGTGAAAGTCTTCGAAGTCTCCCGGACTTAAGGAATACAGAATAAGATATATCTCATCTATAAAGAAATATTCCTATTGTGTAACTTCTGCGTATATTATTCTTTGATAATGCGAATGAATGAAGTGTTCTGAATGTCTATATAAATTCACATGCATTATTCTTTAAAACAATTCAAGATATCCTGTCAATCATTAGAATTTGTAATATTTTATTCATACATCCAGAGAATTAATATATTTATCTCATGAACTAAATAAATATTTATTTGGTTCAAATGAAAATTTTATATTTACCAAATAAAATTTTCATTTTAAACATCAGATAAATAAATTTTTAATTAATTTGAATAAATTATACATGATTCAAACTGAAAATCAAATTATTTTAATTATTATAATTTAATTTCTTCTTTTATACTAAAAATTAATTTATATTTTATTATTTCCTATATTCAATGTTATAGATTCTAATAAATTATTATTATAAATAAATCATTAATAAATTGGATCAATTTGTTGCGAAAATAAATTTCAATCGTATATTACTTACATAAACCTTCTTTTTTAGAACGTTTTACATGTATACTGAAACTTCAGGAGGTAAATAAGATTATATTCTAGATTCTTAAAAATTTCAGAAATATCTACGATTGTAATATGTCTTCTGTAATTAGGAAAGTTCAACATTTCTTTTTTGCAACTTTTTCTTAAAAGATTTATATTTTAAATTTTACTCGAGATTTTAAAATAAAAATAAAATATAGTTCAGGAAGTGTCATTCAAACTTTCACAGAAAACGTAAATTTCAAGATATATTTTATATGTTTATCGATAAAAAAGCCTTTCGCTTTCAGGAGCATCGTTATACTCAGTCCTGTAGAACTAATGATATACATTTAAAGTACTATTCTTTAAATACATATAAATTATTTAATTTCCTGATTAAGAATTTAAATTTTTGATTTAGAAAATTAATTTTTAAAGTTTAATTTCTAATACTCTTTTATGAACTTTGTTAGCATAATTAATTCACAATTAAATTATAGGTATAATAATTATTTGTATATTTTTATATAGTAAGAGCACTAAAAAATGTTTAAATATTCTTATTAGGTAAAATTTCTATTGTTAATGTGAGAAATAATTAGTTATATCGGATTTGAATTCTAAATTTGAAACTGGTAATTTTAATATTTAATAATAGAGATAAATTATTTTACAACTTTGACCTACGTATACGACATAAAACGTTCAGTGTCTTTTTAGAATAAATATAAGTATGCAATAATTTATTTATATTATATAATACACAATGCTTACTTCTAAAGTATACAAAATATTAACATATACATTAAGTGTTATTTTTATAAAAATCGTGTCACATAGGTCGATAGATATTGCGAATGAAAAATAATAATAATAATAATAATAATAATAATAATAATATACATTTTTTTTGTCCCTACTCTACTCTCTACAATGAATCAATTATTTTAAATAAAGATAATAAAATTTTAATTATCTTTAGTTTTATATATCAAACATCGGGATATCGATTTTCTTTTTCATACAAATTTGAGTCTTTTGAAAGGAATGAACCAAAATATGTACAGGTGGACTTTCAAACCCTTGAGTGGTACAAATCCTCATTGAAAACGTCAACTTAGCATTTTGGCAAGGTCATCAGAAATGACTGACAAGAATAGATTGAGCATAATTTTTTCACATTAGTAAATGTAACTTAACTAGCACTTGTTTCTTAAAACCTACATTTAAAATTTGTAAAAACCATTTTGTTTAAATATGGCGCAAAAAAACTGTCGAATATGAATAAAAATTAAATTTTAAAAATTTTATGACACCACTTAAATTATTTATTTTTGTCAAGAATTGTTGTCGAAAATTTAAGCTTTAATTTGAGCTCAAAAGTAGAAGGTTCCATTAACTCATCCGTTTTTCTTAAAAACCTTTGCTGATAAAAACGTTTCAGTTACGGATTGATAATAATCATCATGAAAAACAAACCAAAAACAGCTTTCAGATATATTTTTAAATTCAGTTGACAAAAAAAACTACCGAAAGAAGGATAGAAGTATAGAAAAGATAAATTGAGTTTGTAATTAATTTTATTTCTTAAAGTTATTAATTATTAAACTTATTAATATTATATACTAATTAAAAGTAGTGATGCATATTATACATAAACAAACAAATTGTAATAAACCGTGTCAAATAACAAATAAGATTTGCAAATCAGTGGAGAGAGTCAATTCTTGGATTCCCAAAAAACAATTAATCAATAAAGTATAAAAATGACAATGATAAATGCCTAAATTATAAAAATTAATTTTACACTACACTGTACAAATAAAAAGGGAAATTATTATAAGCACTATAAATCACATTATTATCATTCAATTATACTTATAGAAGCTTGGTTGTCCAACGAATATCATATATTTGAGCACAAAATGGGTTGTCCGAAGTTTAGTTTGAAGATTTAGATCAAAAGCAACTAGAGTTCAATGTTTAGGATTTGAAAACAGATAGATATAAAAGTTTTATAAATAACGATGGCTAATACACATAAATAAAAAAACTAGTACATTGTGGTGATATGGTATTACCTGAAAAAGGGTTCACTTCTGCATCTACATAGCAATTCTAAAACTCGTGCAAAAAGCATACATTCTTCTTTTAAAGTATGTTATACATAATTCAAGTAGAAAAATACTAACAGAAAGAGAGTATCCAATAGCTGATACATAAAGCATTATAAGCAAAACTATTTCCTTTTGAATTGATGAAACTGATGGTGAAGTACTTTGAGGTTTGTTAGATACATAATAGTCTTTCAGTAATCCAAATTCTGAGGCTCTTAGAATTATTTCATTAAAACGATCGTTGAAAGGTGAATTTTCTCTAGAAAACCAAGCAGTAATTGCCAATTCAACAGTTTGTGGAAGTATTTTAACATTTAATTCTTTTTTTTCTTCTCTATATTTATTGACAAAATATTCTGCATCATGCATAAGACAAAATACGGTTAGATTATTAGCCATGTATTCTAAGCATTGTTGTTCGAATCTGATAGGAACCATCTTTTTTATAAGTTTAGCAATATGAAGTGAATAAGAGGTTTTGTTTCTATTAAATTCACCCTTTAAAGTCATGAATACAAAAAAACTTGCTAGCGGTTGCAAGGATGAATTAGCCAGCTCTTCAAGAGTTGAAAGGGTATAGGGGGTTAAGGATACAAAAATTGCCGTTGCAGGTATTCTGTTCATATATTGCTACCCCTATGAATATAAAATTCTGCAAGTATGAACCCATAATTCGAATTTTTGGGGGAGTTATGGTGGGGGAAAGGAAAATAAAGAAATCCATTTTTCTCGAAAACTACTGAACCGATTTTAATGAGCATTGAATATGTTATACATGTCGCTAAGACAATTCTAAAAAAAAATCTCAAAATTTTTTTTTGAAAAAAAGTCAAAAAAAATTAATTTTGAAATTTTCAAAAATTTTTTTTGGGGTGATTTTTTGAAGTGACCACTTTAATTTTTTTTAAAAAGTTACCTTATAATATCCCCTTTAACATATATTTTTTTCAGATTTTTAAAAAATGTAGTTTTTGAATAATTTAACGAAAACCATCGTCGCGCTACATGACGCAGCGCGCACAGTGTGCTGATGCAGTATACAGGGTATTCCAAAAGTATGGAAACTTTCAAATATCTCGAAAAGTACGAATTTTTGTAAAAAATGTTCAAGACAAAAGTTGTTCCAAATAAAAAGATGTACATCTTTGAAACCAAAAAATTGGGCCCGGAGCCCAAAGTTGGGCCCTACAATGAAAAAAGTGGTTTTCTTAAATGAGACCACTAATTTTCAGTATCAAATTCGTAATCCCCATGAAATTCTGCGTTCAAACATGTGGTATAAGTGCCCAAAATATTGAGCCCAATCCAAGATATTGGGTCCAAAATTTATCAACAGATAAATAAATTTT